GAATCTGTGGTAGTAATCCTTCTTTAAATGTTTGGTAGAATGAAGCCATCTGGTCCTGGGCTTTCCCTATGAAAAGTTTTTTTAAATTATTAATTCAGTCTTTTTACTTGCACATTTTTATTGGTGTAGAAAATAACAATATTTGTTATACTGATTTCTAATTTTACTCCATTGTGGTCAAAAAACATGAGCAGTCTTATTTCAGTCTTCTTACATTCACTGGGGCTTGTTTTATGGTCCAACAGATGATGTATATCAGAGAATGTTCCATGTACATTTCAGGACATGCATCTATTGCTGTCCAGTAGAATATTCTGTAGATATTTGTTTGTTCTAGTTGGTTTAAAGTGTTTTTTGTTTCCTTATTAACAATCTGCCTTGTTTTATCCATTATTGAAAATGGAGTATTGACAGTTCCAACTATTATTGTTGAATTGGCTACTTCTCCATGTCAGTCAATTTTTGCTTTATGTATCTTGCATTCTCTTGCTAGATGCATGTTTATCCTGATGGATTGATCCTTGTACCTTTCATTATAAAGCATCTTTGTAGTGGCAATTTTTTTTTATTAAAGCCTATTTTGTTGAATATTAGTGCAGTCACTCTTGCTGTCTTTTTGTTATTTTTTATTTTTGGTACCGGGAATTGAACTCAGGACCTTGCACTTGCCAGACAGGTGCTTATGCTGTTGAGCTATTTCCCTGGCTACTCTTGCTGTCTTTGAGTTCCTATTTGCATGATATATATTTTCACATCCTCCTTTTGTCAACCTATTTGTGGTTTGTGTGTGTGATACTGGGGATTGAACCCAGGGCCTTTGCTCTGAGCTACATCTCCAGCTCTTTTTATTTTTTATCTTTAGATAGGGTCTCACTAAGTTGCTGAGGCAAATTCAATCTTATGATCCTCCTGTCTCAGCCTCCCAAGTGCTGAGATTATAGCTATGTGCAACCACACATGGCTCCTCTGAGTTTTTTTTATCTAGAATGGGCCTCTTAGATAGAATGTAGCTGGACTGTGTTTTATTTGTTTTTGTTTTGTGAGTTTGGGTCTTACTACATAGTTTGGGCTGGCCTTGAATTTGGGATCCTTTTGCCATGGCTGGCTAGCTTCTATGTTCTTAGGAAGATATCTAAATTTTTCAAAACTGCTTATGGATATCTTTCCCTCTAAGTTTTTTAGTTTCTTGTCTGTTCCAGTGGTTATAGCTATCTCAGAAAGTTGCAACGTAAAATAATTGCTGCTATCATTTTTGACAAGTAGACCCAGGAAAAACAGTTGCTTAGTCTGGGCAAGCTCTGAGTCACAGCAAAGAAACACAAAGCCCTAAGATTGGGGATTTAATAGAGTATCAGGTGAAATGATGACAGGTCTCTGTTAACAGGGCTTTGGAGGTGGCTCCAAGCCCACTCTGTACCCTACAGCGGTTGCTAGGCAGCTGGACTTCACCACAGTTTTAAGATTGTTGGTTTCCAATGTGCCATGGAGCTGGGAAATGGGGATAGGAAGGGGGCAGATTAAAATGTCAGAAACTGTCATTCTTACCGAGATGCAAACATTTTTCTTGAATAAGTATTTTCTCCATTGCTGCAAGCCTTTGGTTAATGTCCAGCTTCCCTGGTGCTCTGTTGCTTTTATGACAGATGGGACATTCCCACTACCAACACTCATATGATACCCTCTTATGTGAATTTTAAAAAAGGAAAGTTGTTTGTAGCAATCTTCAACTTGTGCCACAAAGGATCCCATAATTTCCTTGCCTTTAGGGATACTTGAGGGCAAACATCTTTCAAATATTACTGAATTTCTGTGGCCACAGGATAACTTCAGGTTCTTTAGGAAGGGGCAGTTGCTGGCAGCAAACGGACAACCTCTTGCGGAGGTAGGTCCTCCAGTATCACTGAACCTGCTCTTAAGAAGCTGCCTGTGAACGCTCGACCCTGCGCTTTGTCCACACACTCTCCGCTAGGCCAGTGCATGTGTCCCATCACATCTCAAATGTTTTTGCAGTTGGGTGCCTAAACCAGGCATCTGACATGGAAGGACCCTCCTCAGTGCCAGAGGGGTGCTTAGGGGTAGAAGCAGGCCGTAGGACATGTAAGAGTTCAAAGCATGCAGCCTCACAGCACAAGAAGTTACAAGTTAATGACAGTTTCCATAAACAAATCCCTTCCACCTAAAGACTGAGTGCCTGAGGTGGAAGATTACAGGTATTCAAGAATTTGACCTGAGTGCTGGGCCTTTGTGCTTAGGAAGGTCGTCCTGGCTGTCTGGGTGATTACGGAAGTTTCCTCATGTTTGAAGCCCGGGAGGCTCCCCTTCACAACCATCCATCTCACCTCATCATTTCCACCATGATTCAGAGAATACCCAAGACGCGTGGGAAACAATGGACCAGATTCTGGCAGCTGAAATTGTTTCAGTGTTTCACCTTTAAGCAGCTCATTCATTTTGAAGGATAAGCTTATGTAAGGAACAACTTCCTTGGGTCAGGAAATTACGGCCACATCTGGCTTATTTTTTGTATGGCCTGTGAGTTTGGGATATTTTTGCACTTTGTAAGAGTTGTGGAAAAGACAAAGAATGTGCAGCATAGACCCTGAGTAGCATGGCTGCCTCCGCTAAGTAATGGTACCATGGATTTAAATAACCAGTAGGAGAGTCGACATCTACAATAAGATAACAGAACCAAGAGGGGCAAAAACGCTTGAAATATCATTACTTTAATGCTCCAGGCATTTTAAACATTCACAAAATTGCCTTATTTCTGAAATAATTCCTTCGGAGGTACAGATTCTGCGTCCAGGATCAGAGACACGTATATCGCTGAACGTTTTCTACAGCACCCACACGCCGCACCCAACCCGCTACTGGCACCTTGTCTTCATTAGTAGAGTCCCCTCTGCCACCCCCACAACAGGACTGGCATCACCCGTCAACACAACGGCGACTGCTCATGGAAACATTTTGTAGCTTTACGGACCCTCGCTGGTTCTGTGGATCCCAGCATGCTTCCAGCACCGTCAGGCATTCCATGCACCTGACCATGACCCTGGGGATCTCACAAAGCATCACATCAGCTGGGATCTAGGCCGGCATCTGCTCCACCCCGCCATACAAACACCGAGGCACTTAAATGTTCTTGGTAAAATGGAGTCTATAATCACCGTAGTTCAGTGTGAGGGGAAGGGCTTTTCTCTCGTAGCTAATTAGAACTTTAACACATATTTAGTAGATTTGTAAATCCACATCTGTTTACATTTGCGGTCAAGGCTTCATAAACTTTATATTAAGCAGATATGAGTTTCCAAACACTGAGGAGAAGCAAATAGAGAACCTGCTTAGACAATACTGGCTTTGTTTTTTTTTCCTTTTGAGACAGGGTCTCGCTATGCAGTTCAGGCTGGCCTTGAGCTCACTTTGTAGCCCAGGCTGGTCTCGAACTCACAATGATCCTCCTGCCTCAGCTTCCCGAGTGCTGGGATTACAGGCGTACACCACCATGCCCGGCAACAATACTGGCTTGTACCATGAATACAGATATCAACATCTGGGTGTTCCTAAAGAAATGCCTGTTTCCAAAAAGAACTTTTTTTTTTTTTCCAAAGGCTTAAGCCTTAAATGGTTCTTCCAGGGTAGCAATGCATTTTTTCTCCCTCTTTAGGCAGTAATTCAAGGCATCTCAAGACACTGCTGCTGCCTGAGGTTCTGGTTTAATTGCCCAGGGCTGGAAGGAGAGTGAAGCTATAGGCACCAAGAGTTTGTTTTAAAAGGTTTGCAGATGTTTGTAGCATGTAGTCAGTATGGTACTAAAGGCTCTTGAGTTTTCCTGTTCTCGTCTGTCCTCACGAAAAGCCCTTGAGGTAGTCCCTGGTCAGGCAACAATCTCTTCCATGAGCAAGAAACTAAGGCACAGAGAGGTGGGGGGCTCCTCTGATACTGCGCAGTCAAATAACAGAGCCAAGATTGGAATCGACATCTCCAAATAAATCACACCTCTGCTCCCAGCACCGGCAGTGCTTACACGGGCCCACCCTGTGACACTGGGGACTCAGGCACAACCAACGGGGCCAAGGGCACCATGGGAGGATATGGGAAAGCTCTCAGCCAGCCTTCCTACCTGACTGGAAATAAATGCCTTATAGAAATGCTTTGCACAGGTGCACGCTCGGAACCATGTGAGGAAGGAACTGCCACTTTTCTTAAAGCCTCGCTTTACTCACAGGTATGCAATGCATTCAGCTTTCTTGGAAAATCTATCAGGATCCACAGACTTTCTAACACCTGAATTCTGAGCTCCGTCACTGGATGAGTTGGAAAACCCTGAAATGTTCCTGTGAGTTGGGTCCCAAAGCACAGAGAACCCTCCAGGCTTTCCTCATTGCCAGCCCACCCAGACCTGCCAAGAACCCAGAACCTTTACGTCCTAAATCACTGTGCCTCGTGCTGCGATGGGATCATACCTCACTCCATTCTCAGGGGTTCCCGCCTGCTAACCCATCAGCTCGCTGAACCTCCAGCATTGACGTACCATGGGCTCTTATTTTGCCCTGGATGTTAACTGTATTCTCCATATTACAGGTACCCAGTGGGACTTTGCATAATTCCTAATTCCTGCGAGCACCAATCCGGTTGGGACCTTCACCACTTCACTGTAACACCTTTGTATCCAATCACTCATCACTGTCTCTAGCACATAATGTCTAACATTACTCCTTTTTCATCAGCAGCTTGCGTATCTCATCCTATGTGAGGAGGTAATGCTTTTCTCTGTCTTTTGTAAACATCTCACCTGACTGCAGAACCTGCCAAGCAAAAACGAATACTGGAGCACACAAGAGGGAGTAGATCATGTCCTGGGGAGGAGTACAGATTCCCGTGTGTTTGCTGCTGGGATTTCCAGTACACTCTTAAGAAAAGCCTAGCCAGGTGTGGTGGCACACACCTGTAATCCCAGCACTCGGGAGGCGGAGGTGGAGGATCGCAGTGAGTTCGAGGGCAGCCTACAGAAGTGAGTTCAAGGCTGGCCTGAACTGCACGGCAAGACCTTGTCTCAAAAAAAGAAAAGCCTAAGTATTTGGATCACAGTGATGACAAAAAACATCTTTCCACTGCTAGGGACGTGGCCTCCCAAGAAGCCTCCCGCGATCTGTGGATCAAAATATCACTTGATCTGGTACTGAGAAACCACATCTTTGTATACCTTTGTATACCTTTGTTGAAACTTACAAGAAGCTGCAAGGAGCTCTGGAACTGCCTCTTTCCCATCTAGGTAGGACACACACTTACTCAGAGAGCCTCTCTCCCGACGCTTCCAGGCACAAGCAGACTCAGAATCCTTCTTGGGATGGAACCCGTCCCACCAGCTCTTAGAGAAGGTGCTTGAAGCACAAGGAAACCAAAAAGAGGGGAAGACACCTGTGTCTGGCCAGGGCCATCTGGAGGGGATACGAGGCATGGAATTCTATCTCCCTGACTCTCAAGATTTTATAAATTTTTAAAAATTGAAGGAAAGGAGACTTTGCAGGTCTGCAGTTAGCATTCTGATTAAAACAAAAATAACTGAGAATCGTCATATTTCAAAGACACCCCCCTCACACACACGTTCAACCTCTTAAGTAAAGCAAGATACTGTATGGTTTGTCCTCTCTCATGCTTATTTGAGGCTTCTAAGCTTGGCAGACTTGCTGCTTTGTTTCTGAAACATGCAGAGAGCAGCTCGAGAGTGCACAGTGGGTGCTGTTTGGGCCCTATCCAGAGGACCCCCGACAGGAGCTGGACCCCTCGCCACCGGAAAGGAGATGAGGACAGCAGCCTCCGCAGAGAGGCCGACACACGGCACGAAACTAAGGACTGTTGGTGCATGCTTGTCCAGAGTTTAGGAGGACAGAGTATCGCGATGGGGACGAGCAGGGACATATGGGCCGCTCCAAAGTGCTCTAACATCCACTTTGTGTCCCAGAAAGCCAGGCTGCAGCTGGGCACAGAGCTAAGGCACTACGGCTGCAGCGGGTGGGTGGAAAGACCAAGCAGCAGCCCCGCAGTCTGCCACACGTGGGAGGACAGCTCTGCCCCCAGCGCCGCCTAAGCAGAGACCTCCCAAGGAAGAGAACACACAGGCACCAAAGCCCTGCCTTCGCCCCCACAGATGAACATTCCGCTCCCCGCTCAGAGACATGTGCCTCAGCTTCCTCCACTGCAACAGCACTGCTGAGAGCTCCCCAGGGCAGCTCCCTGAGCAGCCAGCTCCGGGCGTCGCTTCCTCTTCTCCTGCTGTCTTCTGTCACACTGTTCAAGTTGCCTCTCTTTCCCAGCTCGGCTTGCTATGGAGTAGTCCGGTCATCTCGCCTCGCCGTGGAGCAGGACCTTGTGCATTTCCCGAGGCAGCTCTGAGGGCCCCGTCGGTCACAGCTTGATGAACGCAGCTAGCTGTGGCTGCTGCTCCACATCTGGAGGCGGGAAGACACTGGATATGGCTAAGTCCACGATGCCCTGGCACAGTTCTGCATAGAGCTTCCTGAAATGTGTTTTTGAAAATGTCATTGAGGGAGTTCATCAAAGTGCAAAAAAACCCACAAAAAATCCAAGTTTTTTTTTCTTTTTTAGCTAAGATCAGCCCCAGGAATTCCATCTCGCTATCACGGTTGTAAACCTGGTTTCCATGGTTTATAGATATACTGCAGGAGACACTGCATGTAGATAAAGCATTTCCTCACGAATATTTATGAAAGGCGGAACCAGACAACTCCTGTTGCAGCTGGCAGGGATGGCAGGGATGGCAGGCAATTTCAGGCACTTGCCTGTGAGTGTGTATGGCGGGGCAGGCACGACCCAGGTAAAGAACCAATTTGTTATGGTCGAGGGGACACTGGGAAGATCCATAGAATCAACAGCTAAGCTGGGTGGAGAAGATAAAGAGAAGTCAGACAGGACAAGGATAGCAGCATAGAAAAGAGGAAGAAGCAGAAGGGAGGGGGGAAGAAAAGAGGGAGAGAGAGCGAGAGGGGAGGAAGGAGGAGGGACTGTGCTTGCGTGCGTGTGTGCGTGCGTGCCTGTGAGCATGTTGGGGGAAGGCAGAGGAGGGCTGCCTGAATGGAGGAGTGCGTGCACCAAGGAGCAGGAACTCGGGGTACCTGGGGAAGTGACAATTGCAAGCAGAGCGGTGTAATGTAGACCACATCAGGCCCCAAGGTAACGGCCGAGGTCTGGACTTCCTCCACAGGCAAGCGGACTTCCACAGTGGACAAGCCAGAAAGAAAACCTCCCTCTGATCACACCAGAGAGCTCTAAGACTTCTACCTTCTACTTACCCTTGTGGGATTCCCTTGGCCAGACCCTAGGCCCTGGAGTCAGCCCCCACTCTCTGGTTGACGCTAACCCAGGCAAAAGCCAGAGATGCGTGGGCCAAAGAGGAAACCCTAACCTCAGATGACCCTCTGGGCCAGATGTGCCCACCCACACACTTGTTCTGGACACATCTGGAATCCCAGTGGCTCGAACGAAGGGCAGGAGCCAAGCCAGCCAGCCTAGGGCAGAGGTCTTCACTCTTAATCATCCGAAGATGGTGTCTTCCAGTCTCCACCAGTCAGGACAGCCTCACAGGCCCACTCCCACGCCGACTGCTGTAATGCCAGCCCCTCCCTTCAGCCTCGCACCACAGAACCTCTAATCCACTCCTGGCCCCAGGACTGGTGCTTCTGTGTCCCCACCTGCTGTAGGGCCCTGAGGGAAGGAAATGTTCCTGCCTCTATTTTCTTTTCTGGGAAGTCCTAAGTGCTGGCTAACCTTCATCTCTCCTGCTATGGTCTGTTCTTTCCTCTCTCTCCTCCCCAGCTCCCAGGCCCCGCACCCCTGTCTACACAAATCGAGTCTCATTTCAATAGTTCAGCCTGGCCCGACTACTCAACCCCTCGCTCCTGAAGAGACAGGCCCCTGGAGGTCCACAGGGAAAGAGGGTAATTGCTCAACTTGGACTCAGTCAGTCACCAAGAGCCAGAAGCTGTCAAAATATGTCATGTTCAGTATTTCACGACACTTGTCGTAAACCGCCTCTGGACGTAGCTTCTGCAGGGAAGCTGGGAAGAGGAGAGGACATAAAGCGGCTTCAACACGGTCAAGCCAACTCAGCCTCAGGTATTTCTGATGGAGGATACTTGATACCCGCCCCCAGCTTCATAAAACAAAACAGGTAAGTCAGTATGTGACCACGTACAAACACACGGAAACTGCAGGACACTAACGGACTTCCCTATCTATGCCATTATCGCACCCTACCAGATCCCTTTCCTTCTCCTCCTCAGGCAATGAGTACAGAGGCATTTGAAAGTTTCTCCTTCAGCATGAGATTAAGACAGTGTGACCCTGTCTGCCTTGAACTCCCTTAGTAGGAGCCCCCAACTCCGACCTCAGGGGCCTCTCCACACAAAATCATGAACCTACATGAACAGACAGCTGTTTCTCCTTCTCTTGCAGAAGTTGAAGTACAAAATGATTCATAATATAATGAACTGGGCAGCGTCTGTCTCTCTCCTTAAGGGGGCTTTCTTGGGGACACTGGTCTTTGTCTGTCCCCTGTACCCCACCATGCTTCAGCAGACTCTAAGGAAAGGGAATCTGGCAGACACTGAGGTGCTATGCAGAATGAGGAAGATGGGTCCAAAGAAGACTCGACACAGGTGTTCATTTCTATCACTAGAGACCCAGGTTGGGCTCCGGCATGACCAGCTCCGCATGATCGGCTCCTGCAGAGCTCTGCAGTAAGAGGAGAGTTCCTGCAGGAACGCAGGGGCACTACCTGTGGGGAAAGGCCGTCCAAGCTGTGACTCTCACACCTGCTGAACCAGGGAGGAGTCGCTATTCCCACACCTTCCTCTGTGCCTGGTTATCCTTCCTTGCTGGTATGGGATGAAAGAAGCAGGCCCACCCTTGGGCCAAAGCCTGTAGGTTCCCGACATGAACAGCGCTGAGGCAGGAGAACTGGGCCCCTCAGCACAGTTCTGTTCATGTGGGCACGGCCTGGTCTTGCCTGGCACCCAGCACAGAGCTAGGTCCCCGGACCTGCATCCGCTGAACACTCTCCCCGTTCCCTTTGGGACCTGACCCTCTCCCCTCACCCAATGCCAACCCCACTCTCCGGACCACCTTCAGCCCCAGTGTGACTGTCTCTCCCACCCTCAGGATCCTCACTCAGCGGGACGTGAGTCTCTCTGGCAGTTACTAGTTTTGTTTGACACCCGCATGGCATCCACCATCCACCTGAGCACTGAGCACCGCATGGGACATGGGAAAGGAGATGACACAACTGAGCTGCCATGCCAGCCAGGGCCCTCACCAAGCACTCCTGTCACGTGACAGCCTGCCCGCCAGCAGTGCAAGGCTCTACCCTTCAGTCAGACTCTGCCAAGTACACAACCAGCTCCCGCCTGACAGACACAATGGTGTTCGGTTCAGACTTACTGAGCACAAGCCGGGGCGCCGTTGACCTCAATGAGCCACACCTTCAGCTCTTCGTCCACCATGAAGTCAAAGCCAAAGAGCTGGAAGCTCTGGTAAGGGAGGTGCTTGGTGCTGATGGCCGGCTCCACGCTCATGAGGCAGCTCCTGGGGGCACAGGGAGAACAGCTTACTGAGGATGAGGTGGTGGAGGCGGAGGAAGCACAAGAGCTGTGCTTGGAAGATGTGATGTCCAGTGTGTGTAAAAATAGGCAACTAGGGCCGGGGATGTAGCTCAGCGGCACAAGTGCCTGCGTGGCAAGCACACGGTCCTGAGTTTGATTCCCAGTACCAAAAAATTAAAAAAAAAATGGGCAACTGACTCCTTTTTAAAAAAATGTATCACCAAGAGAATGCTAGGTATCAAGTAGTTTGTTACAAATGCACAAAATCACTCAGGTTCTTCCAGGCAAAAGCTGCCGTCCCTGTTCCAGGCCCTGCGGAGCATGGCGGAGAGTCACTATGGTCTTTCCAAAAGCAGCGTCCACCAGCGGAGGAAGCCAGGGCTGCTGCCACATTTGTTTATAACAAAGAATGGAACCCTGGTCCAAGTAGTTTCTTTCACTAGCTCTGGTTCTACTGCCAACTTTTTGCAGTTAAAAGATTTAAGAGCTATGCATATTAAAATCAAGTACTGAAAGCGGACCCTTGACTTACGAACGCAATTCGTTCCGAGGGCTGCTTGTAACTCAAGTCGTCAATTGAAAGCGCAGGCTCCTCTACAGCCTTCAAAGTCCCTCTCCTGGACACAGACAGATCAGAGTATCCTCAGAGAGACACTGGCCCAGGAGTTCTCAGTTAACCCCACACAGGAAAGGGTTATGACCGGAATTGCAGTTGTAACTTATGACCAAAATCTTGAGTTATTTCCTGAGTGCCAACCACCTATGCCTCCAGATGGTCTCAGATACAGACTTAACCTTTAAAGAGTTCTGGAAGGAACATCGTAACATAGTTTCCTGTTCGGGGTTAACTGAGAAATCCCGGACCAACATCTCTCTGAGGACATTGAGATCTGCCTGTGCAAAGGAGAGAGATTTTGAAGGCTGGAGAGAAGCCTGCACCTTCAGCTGGCTACTCCAAGTGTTGACGGTGTTCACTGAGATAATGATGTAAGGAACTTGGTATAACTCTTGGTACCGAGAAGTGCTTCATAAATATTCCTCTTACGAAAAAGCACATTTCGGGGCTGGGGATTTAGCTCAGCGGCACAGCACCTGCCTGGAAAGTGCAAGGTCCTGAGTTTGATTCCCGGTGCCGGTGGCGGGGGGACACAAAAAAACAAAAAAAAGAGTATCATCTGAAAAAGCACATTTCATGAATTCAATGGTAATGATATTAATTACAAATCTATCATTGACGAATAATGAACAGCTGTTATCTACAACAAATATCCCAGAACCACAAGCCATTTCTGTTTAATGAAGACTTTCCCTGATTTTTCCCTGTTTTGAGCCAGATGTTACTAAGTTGCCTAGGCTGGCCTCAGACTTACAATCCTCCTGCCTTAGCCTGCCAAGTGGCAGGGACTGTAGAGATGCACTGCCACACCCACCACACACTGTTTAAAAACTATCTCAATATATCTCCTAGCTATTTGGAAGGCTTAGGCAGGAAGATCATCTGACCTCAGGAGTGCAAGATCTGCTTGATAACTTAGCAACTTAGTGAGACCCTTTCTCAAAATAAAAAAATAAAAAGCTCAGTGTGAAGCCCCTCTGTTCAATTCTCAGTATCGCTCCCACCCCAAGCCCACAAAAGCACAGCATCTTATCTCTATACTATGAGAGAATACTCTTAAACAGATTTCAATTAAGATGTCCTTTAAGCCAGGAATGGTGGCATATGCCTGTAATTTCAGCACTTGTAGCACTTGGATGAGGCAGGAGGATTGTGAGTTCAAGGCACCTTTGGGCTACATAGCAAGTTGGAGGCTGTCCTGCACTACATAGTGAGACCCTGTCTCAAAAATCAAAAAAGAGCCAGGCATGATGGTGCACACCTGTAATCCCAGCCCTTGGGAAGCTGAGGCAGGAGGACTGCCGCAAATTTGAGGCCAACCTGGGATATACAGTGGGCTCAAGGCAAATCTGAATTAAATTGGTAGACCCTGTCTCAAAAAAAACAAAAAGAAAGGAAGGAAGTGGGGAGGGCAGGAAGACCTTTAATATTTTTGTTTTGTTTTGTTTTTCTTCCAGTACCGGGAGTCAAACGACCTTGCGTTTGCTAGGCAGGTGCTGTGCCGCTGAGCTAAATCCCCAGCCCCAGACCTTTAATATACAATTAAGATGTAATTAGGAAAAGTTTAACAGAAAGAGAGAGAAAAAACCAAGAAAAGAAAGGGTAAAAGTGAAAGCAGCGTCACACTCCGACCCATAAAGGAAAAACTACGAGCTGGAACAACACTGAATATTATTTTCTATCTGTTGGAAATGCCGGATAAATAATTCACCATAGAGGACTGTTTTCCTCTTCAGAGACTTCACAAAGAGCATCTTTTTGGGCTGGGGGGGGGGAATCACGGAAAAGAAGGGAAGCTGAGCGCCAAGAGGACACTGATGGCCCCACTGATGGCACTGATGGCCCACCTACTCTGAGCAAACCATGAGCAGGAGCAGGCACGCTGCCAGCAGACATGTCACCTGAACCACCTTACCTGGCATCACTCCAGGCCACAGACAATCCCTAAGAAAAGACTCCAAGCCCTGAGGGATCTGCTGGACTCCACGTAACAGCACATTAGAGAAGTCTCACAGTGCCAATGCCACCGTAGATACACAGCTGAATGGAAAGCATGGGCTCCAGGAACAGTGCCCCCATCGCCTGATTAATAACAAGGGTCCCCACGGTGCTGTGGGCTGATGGAGACTACTACGAAGCAGGCCTGAGGAGGACTTAAATTAACCAGTTGGCTTTTTATGTTCATTTGTGCATCTGTCCAAGGCCTAGGGGCCTTGTCTGGAGATGGGTGGTGGACTCATAGTAAGTGAACCTCTACTAAAACTGAAGTGGTGATGAAGCCGAAAGCCTCAAAAGATAAGACAAGATCACAGCCAAGGACACCTGGATCCGATCTCAACTAGATAAAGACTATAGCCTCAGGCACCTCACTCCTGGGTGGGTGAATTTAATCCTTATTAAGGATTAACTCAATACCTTACTTGGAGAAGTCCTTGAGTGATTCAGCCCTTCCTGAGTACTCCCCTCCCTTCTTCTGATAACCAAATAAATCCAGCCCACCCAGAGAAGGTCTTGGTCTTAGGCCTAAGAGAATCTCAAATTTTGTGAGAGGGCTCTGATCCTCCCGGAGACCCAGAATCATTCCATTTGCCTCTTTTTACTTAGCCTTCACTGTACACTCATTCGGGAGATTGTGGACCTGATCAGCCCACAATAGCTAAGGTATATTATTAACCCAGTAGAGGGCAAGGACAGTCTCCTGCACAAATGGTCCTGGGCCAACGACATATCCTTGTAGAGCAACATAACATTTGGCATTCAAGAATGCCATACAGATTACAGGTCTAAACTATCAGAAACAAAACCCAGACATTCACCAAGTACAGAAGAGATAAGCTCTGGAATGTTCTCACGATGGAGCATTACACAGCCATACAAAGGACAAACTACTGCTCTGTTCAATTTGATGAATGAATGCCACACACAAGGTCAAAAAAAGCTGGACATAAAACAAAAACTATAGTATAATTCCGTTCACATAAGGTGGAGTGAGCAAAGAGGAATCTATACTGATATTAGTCAAGGAGTAGCTGTCTTTGACAGGAAATAAATACTTTTGGGTGGTTCAAGTACTGTAAATTTTTTTTTTTTTTTTGGTGGTACAGGGCCTTTACACTGAGCTATATCCATAGCCCTCTTTTATTTTTTATTTTGAAGCAGGGTTTCATTAATTTGCGAAGCTGTATAGGCTGGGCTTGAATTTGTGATTCTCCTGCCTCAGCCTCTCAGAACACTGGGATTACTGGCTTGCACCACCCCACATCTGGCTGTAAATGTTTTATATCTTGAGTTACATCAGAGTCCAGTAAGTGCATGTATAATGAAAACTCACTGAACTGTACACTATGCATTTTATACTTTATTTTAAAATTCTCAGCAGAGGTAGTAACATATACTTATAAGCCCAGTATCAGGGAAGGTGAAAATCAATAAAAGCTGCTTTTTAAAACATATTTAAAGAATTAATAACTCTCTAGTGAATCTATTCAAGAAATACAGAAGGAAAATATAGACTTTGATGTTAGAAATAAAAGAAGTGATCTCATTATAAATCCTATGGATACTAAAATGCAAAGAAGGAATATCACAAATAACTTTTGCCCAGAAATTAGACAATTTAAGTGGAACACTTCCTGGAAAGACATAAACAAAGCTCCTTCAAGAAGAAACACAATAAGCAGAAAAGGACAATTAAGTTACCTTATTATATGCTTGATTTGTTGTAAGATACTAGTTTCCAAGGTAATGTTCAAAGCACTCATTAGGTACTGATTGAACTCCTCAAAGAACATTTCATTCCCCTCCTCATACTTCCCATAGTTCTTTGAGTACTCCTTTTGAATGCAGTGATTGGTCAAATGGCAGGTCTTGTCCTGGAAATTATCCACATGATATGGTTCTGAAGCAGTTCGGAGAACACCCTCTCTGTAGAGGTAGATATTATACTGATGGTCCACCAAGACCCAGCTTCTGAAATTCAATAAAAAACACTATTGTACTCAGGTATCTGTAATCTCTCTCTCTATCTCTCTCTCTCTCTCTCTCTCTCTCTCTCTCTCTCTCTCTCTCTCACATTCACTGTGTATGTGTGCGTGTGTGTGTGTGTACCTCTCCATTTTGAGTATTTTGGGGGTTAGGGAGGTAAGGTAAGCAGCGGAAGGAAGGAGGTTCTAAAATTATACCGGGCAAACTCTGAGCCAAAATAGTGGATTAACATTATAAAGAAGCAAACAAAACATTTCACCCGCTAGGTGCCACCGCTAGGTGTGGTGGCACACGCCTGTAATCCCAGCACTCAGGAGGCTGAGGCAGGAGGATTGTTGCAAGTTCGAAACCAGCCTGGGCTACAAAGTGAGTTTAAGGCCAGCCTGAACTGCATAGCAAGACCCTGTTTCAAAAGGACAAAAAGAAAAAAAAAAAAAAAAATTCACCCTATGTGACAAGGAGACTTACATCCATTAAAAAACCCCAGCATTTTGAAGAGATTGGATGGGTTTTGAGGTTAACCTATAAAACCTCCATTGGCCATGTTTATACTTTCCCATCTTAAGAGAAGGAATGAACATCTGGAAGTCATCTGACACGGGGCTGATGTGCAAGAAGCAGTAAGTCTTACGAGTGACATCAAGTCATTCTGAATGAGATCAGGGGACAAGGATTCTCAACGAGGCGATGGCAGCAGGCCACGGGCAAGCAGGGCAGAGGGCTGGTTAGCGGCAGAAAGCACCTCACAACCTCTCTCCCCAAGGTAGGCCTTTGGCTCAGAAATATAAAATCTAGAAACCTGAGGTATGTTCCTGAAATTCATCAAAAGTGAGACACAGATAGTAAAGTGAGTGCAGATGATCTGGCAGGGTCACACAGTGTGCTGCATCTGAATTTTGTATGTGTTCTTTGTGCAATTCTCAGCTCCTTCCCTAAGTAAGCCCGGTAAAGGTACAAGTTATTTTCACAAAAGCCATTTCACGGCATTTTATTTTCATATATGTGTGTATGAGTGTATATATACACATATGTGTAGCTATGTACATATGCATAAAGAGGACAGATAATCTTAGTAAAATTTCTTGGAAAAAAGAAAGAGTGGAAACAAAAACAGGAAATTGGGTACAAAAGCTCAGGGCCACTGGGCTCCACTCGATTTTGGCAATCCATGAAACTGGCAAATACTTCCTCACATTCACACCCCGCTTAGCACCATATCCTATCCCGTTTTTTTCTGGTGGACAAAGACAAAAGCAGCCGACAGGGCAGCAAGCGTTACCGGATGTCAAACTTGCGGTGCCCTGGCTCCAGTAGCAGAGGGCGCTCGAGGTATTTCTGGATCACGTGCACCTGGCCCTGGTTGTCTATGAAATCCAGAAGCTCTGACGCCTCTGAGGAGATGAGGATGCCTTCGCCTAACAGAACGAAAACAAAACAGAAGTAGTCTGGTTCGTCTCACAAGGAAAAGCTGTCTACAAAGCCACAAAGGAAACACAGAAGGCACAAACAACCAAACCAAACCAAACACTCACAGGAGGTCCTCATTGACTACACTTCACTCTTCCTTCTCCTGTCCTCCCACAACTGCTCACACCCTCCCCTTCCTCTACAGCTGCACCCAGGGTATCCAACTAACTCTTTCTGCGCATAGGAGCACCGGCTTAGCGAGCTGCAACCACAAAATTGTAGTTGTACCGGCAATCAAGAGTCCAAGCACGTTAACTAAATGCCATCTACTATCAGTCACTGGCTATAATAAAGACTATATCACCTATAACCAATGACTCCATTTCTAACACTGTATCATATAGAAATACCAGGAAAGTTAGGGAATAAAAACAAGTATGTTCTCCGCAGCATTGTAACAGAAAAAATTAGATACATTCAAAGTTTCCACTAACATTAAGTAAGTGGAACCAAGTCCACTTGACTGAGATGTTACACACCTTTTAAAATGTAGCATGTTTAACTGTTTGGTCAATCTTGCACTCTTACATCTGATAATCTGAGCAACTTCGTTGAAGATAATAATATGTAATATAACAACCATTGTTAATTTCCTATTATCTTTTTTTTTTTTGGTACCAGGAATCGAACTGATGACCTTGCGCTTGCCAGGCAGGCGCTGTGCTGCTGAGTTATATCCCCAGCCCCTCCTATCATCTTATTTTGAAATTCTGCACCGTTTTTATTGTTTTTGTGTTGTTTTGCTTTTGCTTTGTGGTTATTTTGGTTTTTTTCCTCTTTAAAATAAAATTTTAAAAGTGTGTAATTCAATGGTCTGATGTATATTCCTGAGTTTTGCAACCATAGGTACCATGTGATTTTAGGGCAGTCTCATCAGCCCCTCCAGGGAGCTCTGTACCCATTTCCTCCCCACGCCCCATTCACTCCAGTCTCTGCCGACTGCTAATCTACTTTCTGTCTCTAAGCATTGCCTCTTCTGGATATTTCATATAAATCATGTCACATAGTACATGGCCACTGTGGATGGCTAATTTCACTAGCACAGTTTTCGAAGTTCATTCATGTTGTAGATGCACTGGTACTTTGCTCCTTTTTAGGGTTGAGGAGTATTCTACAGTATGGTTATACCACACTTTTATTAACTCGTGATTTGGACATCTCAGTTGTTTGCACTACTGTCTGGCTCTTAGCAATAATGCTATAAAGACTCACATACAAGTCTGTGTAGACATATGTTTTTAATTCAGTGCCATTGTGATCTCGATTGGAATTATGTTAAACCTACAGACCATTATGGGGTGAGCTGACATCTCTACCTTGAGTTCTGCAATCCATGAATATGGTATGTTTATCCATTTTTTAAAGGTGCCCTTTGACCTCTTTCATGGCCATTTTGTAAGTGTCAGCATTCAGAGCTTGTACATATTTTGTTAAGTTTATACCTAAGCATCTCACTCTCTCTGGGGTGACTGTAAGTGCTACTGTTTTAACCACTTAACAGTTCACCCCAAGCATCACTCGGGGTACTATCACACTGTTAAGCACTATCTCTAGCATTGCTTGGGCAGGTGTTACTTTAGCCAGTCAATTCTTGTCACTTTAGCCAGTCAATTCTTGTACTGAAGAAATTTGATAAAATTATCATCTTCATATCTCCTGTTACATTACCTTATAAAATTTAATGAAAATATGCACTTTTTGTCATGCTGTATTTAAATAACTGACTGGCAAGAGGTTAATTTTGGTTTCCACGTCATTAATACACAGAAATGCAGTTTTTGTGTGTTACATCCTGTAACACTGTGAAGCTCACATTTTAGTCCTGAGGCCCTTTCACTTATGCTTGGGACTTATAGCCTATCTCATCGTAGATCTCATACTTTCCGCGCAAGTGAATTCAGTTCCATTTGTTAATTTAATGATCCATTTTTCCTTAAAATCAACCTCTTTCTCATCTACCCTGTTTGTGCCATTTTTTCCACCACTTGGTTAGGCTCTTGAACAAGAAACTGTGTTGGAAAAGCTCCCTCTTTTCCTACATACAACTCCTTTTGTTTCATCTTCTCTAGGATCCACACTCGGGGTTTTCTGGCTACTCTTTATTTCCAGTTGCCCATCCTCAACTTCAGAACTTAACCTCTCTTCCTGTGCACCGCCTTGCACCAACTTCTAGAATGCTCACCCTAAAGCACCGCTTTCCCTAATGTCCTGGAACTGTCTCCCTCTCCTGCTGAGGCCTTGCTCTGCATCACCTAACCGCCTTCCCTCCCCTATGCGCCCACCTAATTTTCCTTATGTAAACTATTTGCTATTGGAAATTCATATACCAATGCGAGTAGGCTGCAGAAACAGTGGGTAAAACGCAAAGAAATAAATACATTTTTATAGCTTTAAAAAATTATTATCATTTAAACAGAGAACATTAAATGGAAACAGAAAAGCTAAGCACAGTCTTCTTTCCTAACATAATTGTTTCTGTTTTTTCATATTAGCAAAGCCTGTTTCAATCACCATGAACTCACTGCATATTCTTTTTTTAAATTTACATGGTCATTTTTTTAATTTTTATATAAACTTTGCCATTATGTTTTTTTTTGTTTTTGTTTTTGTTTTTCTTCCGGTACCGGGAATCGAACTCACGACCTTGTGCTTGCCAGGCAGGCGCTGTGCTGCTGAGCTAAATCCCCAGCCCCCTGCCATTATGTTAATGCCTGAAAATATCTTACTATGTGGAAGTAAAAAAAAAAAAAAAAGAGTTACACATTTCTTTACTGGTTGCTGGACAAAAGAGTTGTTTCTAAATAATATTATGCTATTATAGATAATATGGTAGTAAATGTCTTTGTGGTGGATCACTCATTTCTTTTATTTTTATTATTATTTTTCGTCTTTTTGAGGCAGGGTCTTGCTATGCAGTTCAAGCTGGCCTTGAGCTCACTTTGTAGCCCAGGCTGGCCTCAAACTCTTGGCGATCCTCCTGCCTCAGCCTCCTGAGTGCTGTGATTATAGGCATGCACCTCCACACCTGGCTCATTTCTTTGAAATATTTCTTTGGAGTAAATTTTCAGGAGTGAGAATACTGCGCCAAATGATATGAGTCCTTTATGACTCTCGTGTGTCACTGCACTGCTTTTTCAAAGGGTTGTGAAACATCCCTTTGAAATTTTGGTCCCAACCAAATTTTGGTTGGGTCCCAACCAATGGGTCCCAACCAACGGCAACAACATCGCTCATGCTTTTCATGTTCTTATTTTGCAGCTCTACAATGACAGGTAAAATCTAATTTATTTAGTAAGTTTTGGCTACTGGTGTAGCCTGTTTCCATGGGTCTGTTAACTGTTCCTTATACCGCTTATTCGTTCATATCCTCACTCACTAACCATGGAGAAATTATGAAGGAATTTTGGAGGGCAATCTTTAAGAAGCTGAGTCCTTTCTGTCCCCTTGCCCCAGTTCCCACTTGAACTTTTAGCGTTTCTGGGAACAGAAGCACCGCTATCAGCCTTCTCTCTGACTAGACCACGGGCCACGCGGTCACGCGGTCACGCCTTCTCTTGTATTCCTGCATCTCCAGCACTCGCTCGTTACTCACTCACTCACTCAGCACATACACTGGACCTTCGCCGGCTGCTGGCCCGGCATGCGGGGAGACGGCGCCGGGCACAGACGTGACATGGTACTGGCTGTGCTTTAACAGGATCTCTTTCTGCTCTGGAGGACAGCCCAGAGCAGCACGGGGAACTGCACCAGAGGTGAGAGGTAAAGGTGGTTCAGGTCACCCGGGTGGCAGGGCTGGGGCCCTGTGGCTGCTCCTGGGTATCATTTGAAGATGCAGCCAATTATATCAAATTGTTTTTTTTTTTTTGGTACCGGGAATCGAACTCAGGACCTTGTGGCTCCCAGACAGGCACTTGTGCCACTGAGCTATATCCCCGGCCCTCAAGCATTTGTTTAACAAAAATAAAAGCCATTCACTCATTCTATTGGTTTCATTTTGTCGTTTCCAAACAAAGCTAATATATATCAGTTATCTTCCTCAGCCCTTGAAGTAACAACTCTTCATTTGACATTTTCTTCTGTTTATGTCTCCCCATTGCTTAGGGTCCCTCTATGTCTTGTCTTGGTGAGGGTCCAGGTACCAGGGTCCTCAAAAAGGACCTGACCCCAGGCTCAAATCCACAAGAGGAATCCAGAACACCATAGATGTCTGTTTCCTCTTCCAATTCCCCCATTTACCATCAGAGCCAAACTCGGAGACAGTACTTAAGAAGAGATCGCAAGAGGGGAAAGAGAAGTAGGCGAGGTACCTGGCTGGTGGCAAGAGTCCAACTCTCCCACTCTCAGGAGATCCCAGGTGACGCCCTCCTGTCTCATGGCTGGTGGAAAAAGAAGGTGAGGTCTACTGGCCCAGGGATAGAAATGAGGACCAATGGCCAGATGGTCTTCCAAGGCAATAAAAGAAGAAGTAAGTTCAAAATGGAATAGGTTTAAAAAGAGCATACGATGGTAGTTGAAGAGGGAGACTGTTTATGTGCTCATTACACTGAGGACTGCCTGTATTTCCATTACAATTTTTTTTTGGTACCGGGAATCAAACTCAGGACATTGCGCTTGCCAGGCAGGCACTTGTGCCGCTCAGCTATATCCCCGCCCTGACTGCCTGTATTTTAGGCCTGAGTTATTATAAACTTCACACCATCTATATAATCATTCAACACATATTTACTGAGTGTCTATAAGGACACAGAGACAAATAAGAAAGTCTGGGTTTATACGGAGCTTACAGTACAACTGGGGAGATGGACAGATATGTAACATAGACCTAGGAAGAGATTAGTCAAAAAGGAAAAATAAAGCAGGGCGCAGGGACAGAAAGCAATGGCACAGAGGTTATCTCAGACTCCAACAGCCTTCTCCTCCAAGGCAACATCTGTGCTGAGAACCCATGCAAGCACATTCCAGGTAGAGACAAATTTAGAGTATCTGAGGGACACAAGGCAGTCAGTCTGTGGCTATACAGCAGTGAGCAGGGCCAAGAATAGAAGGAGATGAGATCAGGGCTATGAGGAAACGCCCAAAGGGGTAGGCTACATCAGGAATCTGGAGTTATTCTAATTGCATTAGGAAGCCAGCTGCTAAGCCATAGGCAGGAAGTCACAGGATTTTCTAAGACATCACTCTGTCTGTGAGCGGAACTGGCTGACAGCAGGCTCTGTAATTACATAGACTAGAGAGAATGGCGGCTTTGATTTAAGGTGGGAGCAGTGGAAACAGCAAGATAAGAGTCTAATTCAAGGATGCATCTTAAAGGTAATGCTAGCAAGGCTTGTTAGTGATTAGGCGTAGATGGTAAAGAGCTGTCAAAGGTGTAGGGGCTTCAGGGCCTGGGTAAATAGTGGGATCAGATACTAAACAGGAAGAGTGAAAGAGGAGCAGGCTGGGGTGGCCAAAGATGGGAGGCAACGAAGAGAGCTGTAACCGACACATCAGGTTTGAGATGCCTCTTACAGATAGAGAGCGTGCTCTTGGACCCAGCACTTAAAGGTAAGACCTAGAGTGGAGATAAACATCCAGAAGGCATCGCTACATAGAGGAACACTTAAATCTACACACATTCTCTACCCCCCGTGACTCAGAGTAGAATAGAGCCGCTCATCTAAGTACGTCCTTAAAATCTAATGTGCCACTGAACCAAGATCATTAGAAGCCTACAGAGCACAGAGAAGATGACAGCAATGGGAACTCACCTTTGGCACCAGCTGATGACTTTGCAATCCAAACGTTGCCTTCCCCATCCTCCTTCTTTCTGTTATAAGAAGCTAGGAAGAATTCTCTTTCATCTGTCCGTGAGTTACTGACCAGTGGCTGGATTCCATTCTGCGCTGGAGCAACTGGGGTCTTGAGATTAGTCGGATATATCACATAGGACTCAGGGAACCAGGTACAGGACTCAGCCAGTTCCGGGCTTGTCTTGATCAGCCTGGCAGAGGACAGAGAGTCAGTCTCCCTTCTTAGTACTGTATGTTCTGTCACTCTCTTCAGAGAGGTGACCGCTTTCCCTGAGAGCCTCTCAAGGAGATAAAACACAAACCAATCTCCTCCTTACCCCTCTCTGCACAGATCTGTAACACGCTATGGTAGGTGCTTATTTCCTAGAACTTCGGCTGTGTAAGGAAACAACTGACAATCCTCAGCCAACACCTTTTCACCAAATATGTTGCATATGAGCCAGACCCACACTAAGAAATGAAGCAGAAAGCAGAGGAAAGCACTTCAGTATCTAGCTGAACACTATCTTGGCTCAACTCTCTAGGGAAAAAAAGGGTACTTAAGAATCTGAATTATCCAAAGAATATTTTTAGTCTTCATTTCCTGCTTTTAGCTCAGCCTGGCTTTGGTAACAGAATAAAGAAGGAATTTTTCTGTTGGGACGTAGGCACCAGTGGGCCTCATGAAACAGATGCCCTGCTCCCAAAATAACAAAACAGCACGGAAGTGAAAGTTAGGCCCTGGGCAAGGAACTGAGCAAACACAAGGGCTTCCCACTACATCTACTCTGCAATCAGACCCCAGAGCTGGAGGTACTGGAACCCCATTTTGTAAGAGTACAAGTAAACTCCCTCCCCTCCAAGATCATAAAGGGAGAGAGTATCAGCCAGGATGCAAGCGGTAGACTCCCAAGTCCTAACTCTGAACTGCCCCATACCCCAGGGATCAGAGCCGGAAGAGGATCCTACCAAAGACATGTTCTGCCCTGAGCCGCAGTCTCTTTTCTGCCTAGAACAGAATGGCTCATGACAAACTTGTATTAAGAGTCAACTACGAGCTGGGCATGGTGGCACATGCCTGTAATCCCAGCACTGAGGAGGTTCAGGCAGTAGGATCACCTCCAGTTCAAGCCCAGCCTAGGCTATAAATAGTGAGTCCAGGTCAGCCTGAACTATATAGCAAGACCCTGTCTCAAAAAAGAAAAAGGTTCAACTATAAAACTCAGTCTGAGGGCAAACGATACAAATAATAAAAAGAAAAAAAAAGTCATCTCAAAATTGAAGAAATCAAATTTGAAAGCTCCTTTAACCCAAAAAGGAAAAGAAAACTACAAATAAATTTCTAACTCAATGTTTAACTCTGTATCTGCCATTGCCCAGGGGGTCACTAGCCACATGCAGATATAGACCCTTGAAAATGTGATCAGCGTGATGACCCAGGAACTGAATTGAGAATTGCATTTAATTTTAATTTAAAAACTGATGCACTGTGACATATTTTTCCATTGGGCACAGCTTTACTGATCTGGTAGGGTGACATTTTACTTTATTGTTGTACTGTTGTGTGCAGCGCGGGCCTATGTGTCATTTCTAGAATCTCACACAAACACATCAGAGTTCTATTCAGGGACAATACACTGATTCAGACAATACACTGTCTGTACATTGATGAAACATGATCACGTGCTTACTACAGAGAGGATGAGTACAACTATACAAACCATAATTGGTAACTAAGGTAGAATAGAATTTTTTTCCCAGTTAAAAAACAAGCATGGACAAATTTTTAATCTGAAAATAAAAACAAGGGCTAGGGATTCAGCTCAGTGGCACAGCGCCTGCCCGGCAAGCACAAGGTCGTAAGTTTGATTCCTGGTACCGGAAAAAATTAAAAAAAAAAAAAGAAAATAAAAACAATACTGACATGAAATTGAATAGGGACACAGAAGCTAAAACCAATGACCAGGTCAGTAAACACACACACACACACACACACACACACACACACACACACACACGGAACTGGAAGATCTATCACAAATTCACAGTGAGTGGCAACTGTATTAGGCTACTGCAGAATAAAACAAAAAAGTAGTTGTTTTGTAAAGGAGATTTTTGAGCAAATAAAAAATTAATTTGATAAGCATTTTCCTCTCAACAGTCAAAAAGAATGATATAAGTAACTGAAATCACAAATATCCAAAAAAAATTTTTGAAACTATTTTTAGTCTAAGGCTCAAACCCAAAGCCTCCCATACGCTAAGCTAACGCTCTAACACTAAGCTACGGGTCCTAAACAAATTTTTAATAGAATTAAGTCTGTAACTTCAGTCAACTATAGAATGCCTTGGATTCTTAAATACACACACACACACACACACATGCACAAGCACGCACACAAACCCACATTTTTTGCATGGAACTGGAGACCACAATGTTAAGCAAAATAAGCCAATCTTGGTCAGTTAACTATCACATTTTCCCTCACATATAAGCAATCATAAATAAAATAAAGGGACAATGACAGGAAACTAGAAGACAGACTTGTAGAGATATAAAGGGGTATGGGGGAAGGGGAAGAAAGAAAGAAATGGGTGAAAATAACCCAAACATGTTATATGCATGGACCAGTATATAAACATGAATCTTACTATTGTGTAGTACTAATACCCATTTTAGATGAAAATATACTGAGAAAAATTATTTTATTTTATTTTATTTTTTTGTCTTTTTGAGGCAGGGTCCCACTATGCAGTTCAGGCTGGCCCTGAGCTCACTTTGTAGCCCAGGCTGGCCTCAAATTCGCAACGATCTTCCTGCCTCAGCCTCTCAAGTGCTGGGATTATAGGCGTGTGCCACCACACCCAGCAGAAAAATTATTTTAAAGCAAAGGGTCAAGAAGATATTTTTACCTGTCCCCCCAATGAACAACCTTCAGTTCAGACACAATGGGCCACAGAATACAAACCCCTTGTGTCTAACAACATCAAAGACTGATTCAAAGTATGAAAAATAATAAACATTTTTCCTCATCTTTAGATAAGTTGTGAGCTAACAGATACTGCTCAATCTCTACTTTGGGAATGCATATATGAACAAATGTTGTCAAACTACAGCCTAAAAAATGTCACTCATGGTACAGGTGCTTTTGAGTATTTCTCATCTGCCAAAGAATTGCATCCTACCTATGAAAAGTTACTTTCTAGCCAGGTGAGATGGCATATACCTGTAATCCCAGCACTCAGGACGCTGAGGCAGGAGGATCATTGCAAGTTTGAGGCCAGCTTGGGCTACAAAGCGAGCTCAAGACTAGCCTGAACTGCGTAGTGAGACCCTGTCTCAAAAAGACCAAAATAAAAAAATAAAAAAGTTACTTTCTGTTATGATAGATAGGAGTTCAACTATATTGAGTTAAAATATGGATTTACTGGGATTTTCATAGACTTTCCTTTTTTACTTCAGACTGCTGTATGATACGTACTGGAAACATTTGCTTCCTTGCACTGTATGATACATATTGAAAACATTTATTTTCACAGTTTTCTGAAGCAGACGCTATAAAAAGCAGCAAGAATATAGTTTTTTTAAATGATTCAGTACACTTGCAAATGTGACAATGATTCATCAGTTCATGGAACGGCTGAAAGGAATAGAAGACAATGAATTTAACGAATTTACCGATACTGTGCTCTTTGCCAGTATGGAGAGATGAAAGCATTTTATAAAAATTCACTGTACTGTTAAATCTAATTTAGATTTTCTTGAAAAAGAATGCTTTCCAAATCATTATTTTCACTCAGTAAGTCATTATTTAATTCAATAATCAAAAAAAAAAAAGTGGCCGTGTTATTTACCTTATCCCACCCATATCCACACTGCAGCTGAACAAGCTAAATTTACAGGGAAGATTTAATTATTTTTGATCTACCGATATAAAAATGATAATTTTATGTCCCAACTTCACAATACAAGTTAATAATAATGGTTGTATATATATATATATATGTGTGTGTGTGTGTTGTGAAAAATGTAGACAATTTTAATTGTAAAAAGACAGCATTGTGAAAATTGCAAAAAAAATTTTTTTAATTAAAAAAAATGTTGGTGGGATCAACAAGCTTACTACTTTTTATTATACTCACTACTGCTTTGAATCCAATATCAATAATACTGATTTAGTTGGGCAGGGTGGCACATGACTATAATCCGAGCAGTTGGGAGGCTGAGGCAGGAAGATTACTGTGAGTTCGAGGCGAGCCTGCACTACAAAGTGAGCTCAAGGGCAGCTCTGAACTGCATAGCGAGACCCTGTCTCAAAAAGACAAAAAAAAGTACTGATTTGGCACAAGAGTTGGTGAATTTACTCAACTTGGACACAGGGTTCCACAAATGATATGCTTTTGTTCTATAAAGTAAAATCAATTATTCTAAAAAAAGATGAATAAATTTCATCATCATGTATATGAATTTTAAAGGAAAATGACTGTTTGGTACTCAATTACTAAAAACCTTTAAGTACGTTGGAACAACTTAGGTATATAAATCTACTTTTTCAATCACAGATTTTTATGAAATCTAAATTCAGGCCAAGGATTGTCAATGAAAACTTACTGCCTGAATTAAGATGTGCTAACAATGTAAAATACACATCAGATTCTGAAGGCTCAGAATGAAAAAAAAACAGAAAATATCTTCTTGCATTCATAGCATGTCAGAATGACAGTATTTTAGGTTTTTATTTTTTTACGGTGCAGGAGATTAAACCGAGGTGCTCACACATACCAGGTAAGTGTTCTGGCACTGAGCTACATCCCTAGCCCAGTATTTTGGAGTTATATGGTTAAATGAAATAGATCATTAACCTAACTGCACCTGTTTCTTAGCAATTATTTTACCAGGAAGTTTAAACAGACCCGTGTAACTGGCGTTCTATTTCTGTTGGACAGTGCTGGTCTATAAGATGACCTTAGTCTGGAAGCTCTCACTTCCTGCCCAAAACCAAGCCCAGGCCCCTCAGGGGTTCCTGTGTCAGTCAGTTCCATCCTTACATCAGCCTGGAATCATAAACTGAGGCTCACTCACATCTATAAATGAGTAGTGCAAACGCCGGGCATGGTGGCGCACGCCTGTAATCCAAGCAATAGGGAGGCTGAGGCAGGAGGACTATTGCGAGTTTTCCGCCAGCCTGGGCTACAAAGTGAGCTCAAGGCTAGCCTGAACTGCATAACAAGACCTTGTCTCAAAAAGACAAAAAAAAAGAGCAATGCTCAGAAGAAGAAACAAAAGCCTCCAACCTGCCAGGAGAAGAAAAGCCCTCAGGCTCTGAGACTGTGGCCCTGGGTCTTGATGAACTGCAGAAACTCCCTGAGGGGTCAGGAGTAAGGGGCAGGCTGCAGGGGACGCAGCACAGAACCCCACCAAGGCTCTAGGGAGCCCTCTGGGGGACGCAAGGTCACACTGCCCATGGGTCTCGCGGGGACAGATTCAAACTGTCCTGGTTCACCATGGATGGCTGTGGTCTTGGACAGCACAGCTGACTTCTCTGAGCCGGCATTCTGCACTATAAAATGACGGAGATCACATTTCCTTCCTCTCAGCTCCTGCAAGCCATACTAAATCACGGGAGACAGACAGACAGACAAAGGGACCTGGCATCTCCCAGGATTAATTACTCCAACCCCTCACAGGTCACTTAGGGGATGAAGAACGCTGCTGCTGATGGAGACAAGTCTCAGCTTGTATAAGCCGTGTCCCCATTTACAAGGTGCCATCACAGATCACAGGCCACCAAGGTCGGAGAACAGGCCTACCACCTCACCGATCCCCATCTTACAGACAAGATGGGGATCTACAAACCCAAGCTGCTGGCTCCGGTCTTAATCACAGCATAATGCCGTCTCCTTTCACCTTATGATACTGTCCTAGTGATATTCGGCCATCACCCAACTGCTCTGAGATGGGAGATGAGGCAGATCCTATTACACCCTGCCCAGATATCTGTAAGATGGGCACTGGGATTCAGAGTGGTGCTGTCCAAAGCTAGAGATCCCTGCTGAGCCCTGGTCATGATTCTAGTCCAGTACTCACTCTGCCTCCCTGTAACTGCTAAATACGCAAATACGTAGAGCATTATTTTTCACACCATCCTCTGCTTCCTATCTATACAGCAAAATTCTACTTTCGCCTTTGCAGAGAAAAACAGAAAAGATTAAACAGTTTATAAAAATGTGAAATGAGGCAGGAGGACTAATAAACAATCATGTCCCACTTCGACTTCTGATTCTAGTGAAATATAAACATAAAAACATAGACCTCAGGAAGCCTCACTTTTGGAGTTGCTGCCGAATCATGAAAAGCCATCCTGGGAAAGAGTGTGTAAGTTACCAGGGCCAGCAAGTCTGACAAAGACGTAAACGTTCCTGTGTGTACTCAACCTAGTAGCTATGTACTGCTCAGAAAAAAAAGAGGATCTTGCATTGAGTCACATTTTCCAGTGTCATCTACCTAAGTGACCTATTTCGCTACACATACATGTTTAGTAGGTATGTGTAGGGAAGAATCCCAGAGACCTACTACCGCCCTAATTGCAGATGCCATACCCTCTGAAATGACAGCAATAACAGCAATGACAACCATAATCACAGCAATGAGAAGAACCTTCACTTCTAGACTATAAACTAGGAGGCATTAATTCACACTGAATTAATTCTCACAACCCTGAAGTAGTTACCATCACCATTTTACAGAGAAGAAAGCTAAGGGCTCAGAGTCAAACATGTATTAGGTACCAGGCCACTGAGTTACACATACTCCATAGTGACACCTTATTTAATCTCCACCACTGCGTCATGAGGAAGGTATCAAGACTCAGCAAGATGAGATCTGTTCTGACTAACGAGATGAAGGGCTGAGGCTAAAACCCAAGCTGCTGGCCCCGGTCTTAACCACAGCATAATGCCGTCTCCTTTCACCTTATGATACTGTCCTAGTGATATCCGGCCATCACCCAACTGCTCCGAGATGGGCGATGAGGCAGATCCTATTACACCCTGCCCAGATATCTTTTCTGAGCAGCTGGGAGAGTTGGCTGCCAAGGGCTTATGCATATAGCCTTCTGCAAGGACCAGCTCCCTCCCACCCAGAAATGTCTGGAAACGATGTGCTCCAGCCAACAGCTAACTGTACTCGAGCACAGAAGCCCAGGCGCTTTGCTTCCGGATGTGAAAACGCTGAATACCATTCACTCCGGAGTTCCCGGGGTGAGACTTCAGCTGAGCCACCTCTTTGCATGGCTCCTGCCCTGCCCTGCCCTGCCCTGCCCTGCTTTCTTGTCCTCCAGAGAGGTTTGCCTGGAGAATTCTCCCCCACGAAGTCACTTGGGCAAGAAACCCTGAGTCAGCCTCTCCATGGGAACCTCACCTAGGAGACAGGCAGCCTTTATCAAGCACAACACACCAATCTTTAAATTGCGATCCAAGCAGCCCAGGGGAAGCTTCAGCACCAGAATGTTGTCTTTTAAAATTGTAAAAGTATTTTTTGCCCTTTAAAATAATCCCACGGTTTGCACAAGGGCTTGAGGGTGAACACTAAAAATATTTACACAAAACATTAAACAAGAAGGTCTTAAAGAACACTTACTTCACTAAAGAAGCTTTGCGACACAGTTTGTCGGCCCCCCTGTAGTAATTCACCAGCTGCAGCAGGCCAGGCTCATGACCTACAAGGAGAGAGGAGGCTCAGAAGGGAATCGGACAGGTGGGAGCAATAATGTCAGCACCAGCAAGCAGACAGAGAACAGATGTGCCGGGCCTGGCTCTTCTTGCTCTCCGCTTCAGGACTGGCTCTCAGAAATGAGATAATTGTGCTTCTCTGTCCCCAAGGTTCTGCTTTCTCTCAGGGCCCTTCCAGCAACTCTCATCCCCCTCATGGGGGATGCTTTCATATCAACGGTGCAGGTCTGCTAAAGATGGCTGCTACCTTTTGTTTTGTTTTTGAGTTTTAAAAAATTTGGCCATTCATTTGTTTTTATTGTTGTTAAAGTGGATCGGGGATATTTCCTGCTTCATCTCTCCTGGAAGCTTCTCTTCTCTCGGTTTAACACATTCAGACTTACAAATCTCTCCTGGAAGCTTCTCTTCTCTCGGTTTAACACATTCAGACTTACAAAGTACAAAAGGCTACTTTAATAGAGTCGTACTTTCCACATCCCCCGCTTACTTTCTGTAGACATTAAAGAAGGTAGGAGATCTGTGAGGCTGCTGATCTCAGGCACATTTAATGCTGCATGTTTAGAGGCCACTAGGTAGCAAAGGAAGGTAGTGGACAGGCCATGGCTACAATGTCAGAAGTCCTGAGAACTTTCTTCTGTGCCCTATCCCACAGGGAACCGCATTTTCGACAGCTGTTATTACACAACCCCTTCTGTATGAAACTAGAGCAGGGGCTGGGTGTGCGTCTCAGTGTGATAAAGCACATGCTCAGCATATTCGAGGCCCTAGGCTCAATTCCCAGCAGCATAAAGTAATAAAATAAACCACACAAGTAGAGCAGGAAAGACACAAATAAAAACCACATTTTTGTGTAAAATAAACTTTTTGTTTAAAATCGTTAAGATGCGTTGCACTTTCAGTAGCAAAAAGTAAGACAAAACAAGGGGATTTCCAGTTGGTGTCAGAAGTGGCACTCATTCACCTGAGAGTGAAGTCAAAGTTCCAAGTTTCACTCGGCTTTCACCCTCTCCCCAGGGGCAGACAGGCCCTGGTTCACACCTGGACAGCTACCTTCTCATCCCCAGGGCACTGCCATTCCTCACCTTGACGGCCCCTAGGAGCTTTCTCCTGGCTTTCCTGCCGTGCACTTCAAATGAAAATATTCCCAAGCTTGAGGGCACATCACCACTTTGATTTGGGGATGGTGTTTTTTCTCCCATAAAAACCAAATGTTTGCTGATCATCTGCTAAATTTGCCATGCATGTCTGGGATTTGGACCCGGTAGGTTTCTGCTTCTCATCTTAATCTTAAGCATCACAGGAATCCAAACACTCTGCCTCTTTCTGGGCAGAGCCTTTTGCCTGTTTTTAACATCAGGATTCCACCTAGAGTTTTTACAGCCACGCACTGCCAGCTAGGAAGAGGAAAATCAATCAAGAAGGGAAGTGGATAAAGCGGGAAGGAAATAACTTCTGCTTAACTATAAGCAGTTTTTCCTCTTCTTTGGGGAAACAAATCCCCCTCCCCCAGGGCTTCCTGAGGAAACAGTTAAACAAAATTGAATCTCAACTGGGCATGGTGGCACACGCCTATAATCCCGGCACTCGGGAGGCTGAAGCAGGAGGATCACTGTAAGTTTGCGACCAGCCTGGGCTATAAAGGGAGCTCAAAGCCAGCCTGAACTGCATAGCGAGACCCTGTCTCAAAAAGACAAAGGTAAATCTCTAGGCACTTTCTGGGGTTTCCAGTGAGGCCTTCCACAGAGTCATCATTCTGTATCATCAACTCGTGTAACAACAAAAAGTTGTCCCCAGTACCATCCCAAAGGAAAAAATTTAGAAGACTAATGCCTCAACGTGGTCATTCCTCAAACCATTCCCGCATGACACAGCCCCACCCAAAAGCTCCAAGTAAGCCCGCCAGTGCCAGGCAATTCCCATGGGCCTATTCCCCGTCCCTGCCTTTCCAGCTCCCACCACACCCATTCCTGAAACCCTTCTGCTCTCCCAGGCACGCAACACTGCTCTCTTGGTTCTCCTCCAGAGCAGAGATGCCTCCTCCTCCATCTCATTCTCCCCTCTGCCCCGACCTTGGGGGCGTTTTGGTAGGGAACACGGGCTACCCAGAGAGGTGCTCCCCTCCCCTGATGACGGCGCAGGGATGACAGCATGAGACGATGCTCAGGTCCATGGAAGGTGAGTTGAACCCATCTGGACAACTTCTGGATTACGTCATCGGAAAAGGAGCTGCGGGCCCTCTCTCCTGTCGCTTCTTATAGGCGACCACGTGGGTAGCGTGCTGCCAAGCCCACTTCAACCAAGAGAACGAGGTAGCCACTTCAAGGAGAGGAGGGCAAAGAGGAGAACCCAGCCTCCTGCAAAACCTTCCTTCCACGCACAGCTGTGAAAACAGGTTCTTTGGTGACGCTAAGGGAAGGTCTAAATTCAGACAGCGCCCCAGACTTCCCCGGCCTACGATCCACTCTGAAGCTTTCGGATTCCAAACGTCTCCCAAATCCTCTACCCATCCACCTGAGCATCGGGCGGCAGAATCGTCACGGTTTCAGCACCCACAACTCCCGCTGCGCTCCCACGCCAGGGGTGAGGGGCGCAATCCTCGGGGAGCAAAGCTGCGAGACGCCTCCAGCCGTAGCTTGCAGCCTGCAGCCCGCCCGGCTCTGCGGAGCCGCGGCCGCCCCGCGCCCGGCCGCCACCCGCCCGATGCGGGCCTGGGCCCCGGCCCCCACCCCGGCCGACAGCCGACGCCCGCGCGGGCTGGGACAAACAGTCCTCGTGGGGGCCGCACGGCCACTGCAGCTCGGAGGGTACTGAGGTCTTTCTGGGTCCGTCTGAGGTCCGCCGGAGACAGCACGCCGAGGGGAAGACTGATGACCTTCAAAACAAAAGCGCTCGCTCTCCGGGGCCGTGGGAGGCGCGGCCGAGCCGCTGGGGCGGGAAGCGGGGCGAGGCTCACCCAGTCTCCCGAAAGGAAGCCGGTTCCTCTCCCCCAGCATCAGGTTGAACCTGGGGTTGTCCCGCCTCAGCCTCTTCCAGTGGCCGGTGGCGAGGAGCAGCCGGGACACCTCGGCGTAGACGCTGCTGTTCTCGTCGCGGACCACGAAGGTGTACATGGCG